ACCCTAAACCCTAAACCGCATACGGGCAATGACTCGGTTGCAGTTACAAAGCACGTAAAGCAGGGCTCACCTGTTGAGGAAGAAGAGATAATGGCAATAGTGGCAGGAGGAGGAGCAACAGCTATTGTAGTACAAGCAGAAGGAGAAGTAGTTGTATCCAAATCCCCTCGGAAAATCAGATTCTCAGTCCAGCGACGGCGATGGCTCAAGGTTCGTCCCAGATATGCACCTCGAAGCCCCAACTTGCTCCTATGAAATTTCAACCTGACACCAGATAGCAAAAAGCATTTGATCAAGGAAGCCTCCAGGAGGCCAATCTAGACCTCATACAGCCCCATTACCGTTGTACGAACCATGATCCTGATATGGAGTGTACCCACCTGGTAACCATTAAGGGGGGGGGGCTCCTGACACCTTTTATCTCAACATCCTAGACCCTAAGACCAGTTCCTCTTAACGTGGCAAGCGAACATGACTTCTCTTAGATTCCGCTACAAAAATAGGTTCCATGTCAGTTTGGGGCATGGTACACGGGCACACCCCTGACCAGGAACCCGGACCTGCTGGAGCTCGCCAACACTGCTTACGAAGCGCTGGTCTTGCAGAGCAGCAAGCATTCAGAGGCTGTGGCTCTCCCACAACACCCATAGGTTGGGTACTGCCCCCCACTCATGAACAGTTGGATAATATCTATATTGCAACTATATATAGCCCTTAATACGATCCCTAATGTAGACTGTTAATGGGTGGGGGCAGGACCCAACCCATAGGGCTCAAGGTGTACTGTAGAGTAAGGATGCGAATGCTAGTGGTCTTAGTTCTGGCTTGCATTCTGATCGTGGAAAAATATTGCGCCAGCCGGGACTCTGACGTTCCGAATTATTAGCCGAACAAGGCTCGTTCGAGCCCTCCCATCCGAGGGGTGTAGCTGCAAGCGGACCCTTGCAGAGGTCTGTTCGGACTTGGTGCAAGCTGTCGCAGAGGAAGATCCAGTGCTGGCTGCCGTCTGGTTGCATGAGATGCGTGGGAGGCAAGCAACGCCTTCTGCAGCTTGCTATGAGGCCAGCCAACAAAACTATGATCCAGCAAGATATGGCAAGATTGTCAGGAACTTGATTTCTGGCCTTGCAAAGCAGTCCCCCGCCAAGAGCCCTTTACGTTTAGGAAAAAGGCATAATTTGAAATACATGTGTTGGGCAATTGCACCCACAGCAGCCAACCAGAATCTTGGACACTAATGAGACGTCTAGGGTCGAGGGCGTAGGGTATCGCTATCCGCGACGGAGTGTCTTTAGGTGGTTGATGCTATGGAACCGCCAAATTGGGCGCACACTGCATTTTCAAGTTGAGGTGATAAACTAATCATTTCCCTCAAGCAAGACCCCTGCACCCCACCTCCCCCCCGCAGAGCACTTCAGCACAATATAGGAATATGTAGTGATATAGTGCAGTTCTATAGTGGGGAGTGCTTATTATAGAGGATTACTGACAGAGGGGATTAGCTTCAGAGAGGCAGTGATCGAGAGCGCGTGCCACGAGGGCTTAGCCGCACAGGCATCAGCAACTTGGTTATTGCTGCGTTGCTGTTGCAGCACTTACACTCAATTCCTACAAGATGGGTATAAAGTAAATGATAAGGTTGCCTGGTTTTCGTAAATTCAAGTGCCTAAACAGCAACTCAGATTGCTGAACCTGGTTTTTTTGAAAGGGCAGCCGCAAGAATCTGAGCGCCTTGCTTCATAGGCTATGTATATTAGGTCCCCTATTTGCGGAAATAGCGCTACACCCTATAGTCCCCCTTAAGTAGACAACATATGGGGTATATGGGGATCTTCTTAAGATATGCCCAAAGCCCTATTCTATCTACTTAAGGGGGACTATAACCCCCTAAGCCCCTAAACCCTACCAGCAGAGGCAACGCTCGCTGCCATGGGCACAGCTTCCGCCACTGGCTACCGAAGCGTTATCGAAGCCTTAGCTCGCTCCGGCGACGTGGATGCTGGGGCCTTTACGGGTTTCTTGTAGATTGCTTCAATAGGACGTTGAGGCCAGAGGGTTAAACAAAATTTGGCGGGCTTTCTTTTGGCCCCGAAGATTTTGGATTACAGTTTGAGGGGTTTTGCGCGGGCCCCGGGCAGGCTTGCATATGCTGAGTCATTGCGGGATATCCTTGAAGTTGTAGTATCTCAGAAGGGAGCCAGTATAGGATTTATGGTTTGGGGCTGGGAGTTCATGCTACAGCGTTGCAAAAGCGGGTTACATGGGGCTGACTGCTAGGCGTT